CCCTGATTCCAAAACCAGACAAGGATCCAATCGAAAAGAGAACTACAGTCCATCTATTCAGTGAACATGGATGCTCACAGACAGATGCAACGAATCATAGAAAGAGCATTTGTGATGTCCTTTCCTGGTGACATCCAGCCACTGATCTCTTGTCTTCATCATGACCTCTTATGGGATGTCAGCCAATCCTCACTCGAGCTCTGGTAGCTTCTCTGAGGACACTTTCACTGCTACATGGATGTGGACACCTTTCCATCCTCCTTGGGGACCCGACATCTCATTCCACGCCATCCCAAACACCAGACCAGCATGGCGGCTTCCTCAGCCCTACGGGCTCTGAACTGTGAGGTGAGCTGCACTCCTGCTCCCTTGCATATCCCACCCAATGGCTTTTGCTCTGAATTACTCAGGAAGAAAGAAAGGAAGAGAGGGTATTTCATAGTTTTAAATTCAGGTAGACCTGCCTCCCTCGATGATAAAAAGTGGGTTATAGATGAACAAATCACAACTTCCCCATGGCCTACAATGCACACTTGGGAGTCCGCCTAAACTGGGGCACGCAGGTAATAAGAGTTTTAAAATCATAAAGTATTTTGTCATAAGAATGGTGTCTAAATAAATCACAAAAAGTACATCCTGTACTTTTCTATTGAAATGTTAACTATCCTTTTAGAAATGGAATTCCTGAGAGAAATCCACAGAAATGAGAACTAAGGGCCTGCCCTTTAGATGTAGTCTGTTTTGTTTTCTGTTCAAGAAAAGGCTGCTTTCTCAGACATGGACTGACTTGCCCATAGGGGCTTATCTCTTGGGAGGTCGTATTATTTACTGACTGATTACATACCGGTGACTGCTAATGCATTTCATTAATAATGTTTACAAGCTTGTTTTTTTTTTTTGCTCTCTGAGGTGTCTGGTGGCTTTCTGTAAAAGTGTATCCAGCTTAACAACAACAACAACAACAAAAATAAAAGGTTTTCTTAAAGACTGTATATATAACTAGTGTTAGAAATCTGAATTTTACCTACAGGGTAAGTAATTTGCTTGACATTTAAAGTAAATTGAATTTAACTTAGCAAATGGCTACTGTTATTTTTTTAGAAATATATACAGGCACTTGGAAACTCAGATTTTCATTGTATAACATCTCCTTATCAAGGACCTGGCTTGCACACAGCACTGAGTAGGAGGTTAGGTGAGAATGCATTTCATGGCAGAGGTAATGGCTGAGATCTCCATAATTACCGTGTCAGTAATTATACTAAGTAGATTACCCCTAGCATCTCATTTAGCCTTTACATGTCTAATCATAGAAACTACTCTTTTTTGTGCTGATGGATGAACAGACTGACATGCTTGGAGATTTTAGAAAGACTTTCTCTCCGTGATAGAATTGTATGGAAAGTCCTGTCTCATTCATTCATTAATTCATCCATTCAACAGAAGTTATCGGGAACTTTCAATGTGTCAGTGAGTTCTAGGGACAAAGTCACAGACTGAGCAGAGACACAGCTTCAAGTTTAGCAAAGCCCCAGTCAACTGAAACCTATTATTCCAACAGCTAGATTCTCCTTGCCTTGAGATGGCTGCTCCACAAACCAGCCTTCTCCTTCCCATGATGCCCCGCTTCCCGTTTAGAATATGGCCTCTTCCACCAAAAGGACAACCTTCTTCTGCACAAAATAACCCTCTTCTGGCCAAAAGAGAAACCCGGTACTTGCTACCTCCCTAGTGACCAGTGACGTCACAGGCTCCTCCAATCCCTTATTGCTACATCACTCGACCCCACCCCATCTCCTAGAAGAAGCCCTCCCTGTCTCGGCCATATTGCTTTCTCTCCTTTGTTCAGAGACAGCCTGGAAGGTCCTCCCGATAATAAAGGCTTGTTACGGTCCTGCTTTTCAGCTCCTTTTACCTAATACCAACAATGCCTGATGACTGCTTGGCTGATGAGGACTAGGGAAGGGGAGGGACAGAAGGAAACTGGGTAACAGGAATCAAAACCAAGTCCGATGGAAGCACTGAGTTTGAGTGTTCTAGAACACACTGGGATGATACAGCTAACAGTATGGTGTTACAGATTTCATAAATACCTGAAGGAGAAGAGTGCAAAGGCTCCAAACACAAGCGATAAGACGGTGAAAAACATAACTGACTCTGATTTTATCAATACTGATTGTACACATCTATTGAAATCCCACAGTGTTGCATAAATATGCATAATTACGTCAATAAAAATTTTCAAATGTTTGAGAAGGAATTGTTAACTATCTTGATTTAAATATTACGAACTGTGCGTGCATGTCAAATTATCAAGCTGTACCCCACAAATTTGTACAATCAAATATAAAAATTCAAACGCAAATAATAATTTTTTAAAAAAGCTTACTGTGCACCAGCATGGAGTTATATAAAGAAAGCCCTTCTCAAGGGTTAGAAAAGCCACTGAAGAGAACCATGAATGAGGAAGGAGCAGGCCCAGATGCGTTTTTTTAAAAGGGAGCCTCTGAGTAAGTGTGAGGAAGGGACTAGAAGGGGCTGAGCAAAACTCAATGCCGGAGCAGCGAGGTGGGGTCGGGGACATCTAACAGAGACAAGTTTTGGGAGGAGCTGGATACATGGAGGGTGAAGACAAGCAAAGACTGAGGGACGAGCCTAAGATTCTGGCTGGAGCAAGGATGAGCAGAAGCAGGTGACTTTTCTAGGACAGGGAGCTCTTGACCTGCAGCAGACGTCTGGGGTTGATGTGGTGGAGATCCATTTTGGGAAATTTGACTATGACAGGCCTATAGCCATCAAAGATCTTATCCCATCATAAGCTCATGGTAAACTTGATGAGGCGGGAAATTAAAATTTTTCTGAATTCCAGCAGTAGCCCTCTCTGAAAATTTGATTTAAATACTAAATGACAGTGTTGAGTTTTAATTAAATACGTCAATCTGTGCTTTACCATACCTTGCTTGTTCTGTCCTACACATGCACAGCCTCTGGTTTTAATTCACACAAAAGCCTACTAATCATTTTAGGTGAACTGAATTCACATGCTTTTATCATGGAGGACAGAAATATAAGCATTAACTTATATGTAAATGACAGCATTTTGGTGTTAGACAGTAAGCACGCATTTAATAGACAGCTGGCTCTGTTTTCTAACTATTGGTGACTGGAAAGTCTAAAAATTAAGTAATCTAATTCCCAAGCTCTCATTTTCTTAGCTGTCCAATTTATGATGATTTTACAAAGATGCCACACAGGAGGTCACCTTGGTATAGTGCTTGCCTCATGTGTGCAAGGCCTTGGGTTCCCTCAGAACCACACACACACACAACCTCACTCACCTTATGTATTATCTAGGTATGTGTTTTTAATGTTATTTTGGAAGATATCTGTGAAAGTCACATTTCTCAAAGCTACTATTTTAGCAAATTTTTCTTTAATGGGAGGAAAAATATTTTCTTATATGTGTTTTAACAGTTTCCAGTCCCCACTATATTTGTTGTAGACATTTTCTAGAGCAAGGGTGTGATGAGATCTTCAGTTAATTGTCAAGTTCTGTGATTGGGTCTGTCTTGGAATAGAGACAACCCTGTTTTCTGGAGAGAACAGTGGCCTTGCATATGGAAGGGTGAAATATGTTCCGCTGTTCTTACTGTTCATCTTCATGTCAAGCCTAAGTCTTTATTAGCACCAAACCCTGCCAGATTGTTCAAACACGCGGCTCTGAACCCAACTGGCAACGCAGACCAGATGCACCCCAGTTATGAATCAAGTACTCACGGTCACTGCAGCTCTGTTGTTTGCAATCATTCAGGTTAGAAAAACAACACACAATGTGATGCAATCATTCGTCCAGTCCTCTACACACTCTGAAAAGCATTCCTAGGCTAAGCCAAAGCACTAGAGAGCGATATACTTGAATGTGAAAACAACTCATAAAGTGAATCAATTAACTTCTAACAGAAGTCAGTCTGTGTATTTAATTACTCTTAATAAACTGCTATATCCAAAATACTAGGTTTCTAAGACAAAGAAAAAGTCCTACCTCTCAAAGACCCCACTCTGTCCACTTGTCTTTCTAAGTATTTTTAGTGTTTCTATAAAGGCCAAATAGATAAAAACAATTCTATGTGGTAAATGTTAAAACAGAGAAATATACAGGGCATAGGAACTCGGGGGTGGGGTGGGGTGGGGAGGACACCTCTGTGGTCTCTGGTGCAGCAGGGAAGGGGAAGAAAGCCCAAAGGACCCCCAGGTGGGCTGGAGCAGTGCCACCCACACTGGATCAGTGTAGCTGGCATCAAAGAAGAGAGGCACAGGAGAGTACGACCGCAGGACGAGAGCCCAGACCAAGCGCAGCCGGGTAGCTCTGGCGCCTCTGGTTCTCACCAGAAAGCCCCAGACGGCTCAGTGCACATGGATGGTCATTCTCCCACAGAACAAGACTTCAGAGAAAGGGCAGGCTCCACAGCTGACTGCCCCAGGGACTCCATGACAGCTGCTCCCTGTCGCATTTCGGCCTCTCTCAGAGTTGTCTCTCCCCCGGGCCAGAGCAGCTCATCCACGAGGGGACCGCAGCGCTGTCTGGCATTGCAACAGGACGAGAGACTCCATCAAGGAAGGCGTCGTCTTTCTCTGGGTCGTGTTCTTGGCAAGGCAGAAGTGCCTCGCGATGACCCTGGCGCTTGCCCCTCATGTCTCAAATCCCTGGCTTTGGACGTCACCTGCAGGCGACATCTCCACGGGCTTAACTGCAGGCGGCCGCCTGCTTGGGAGGATAAACCCCGCACTGCTGCTCAGTGTCTCAGGGGCCCGAGCAGGCTGACCGGAAGCCGGGCATCTCCTCTCTTTGCCAAAGTATCCCTGTATTTCCTACTTCAGTAAGACACTGCTTTCCGCCTATTTTGAATGTACAGCAAAAGCAGCGATGTTGAAAAACGATCAAGTCACATCATCCTAATTCACTATGCAGCTCAAACTCACGCACTGGAAACAAAACTTACCAAAATCTACTAGCTTGACTCCTCCCTCAGTGGTCAACAGAATGTTATTTCCTTTCACATCGCGGTGGATGGTTTTGTTGGTATGCAAATGCTGAAGCCCCTAAAAGGTGGGAAATGCAAGGGTTATCAAAAATTATGGTGAATGTTTAAAAATTATTACAGTAAGATATCTTACCATTAATCCCCCCATACTCTCCCTCGCTTCAAACACACTTATCTTCCATTCCTGCTATTTTGTGAAGCAGTTGTAGAACTCTTCATTTGGGAGCGACTTGATAAGATGTGATCCAAACTACAGTGAATGCTGCTATTGAATGTCATCCAACAGGAAGGCAGGCTCAGAAAGAATATTGTGCTGTGTCCTCATCGACCTTATTCACCAGATCTGGCACTATGCCCCTTCAGGCTCTCCCCCAAAGTCAAACTGCCTATGAAAGGTACACATTTTGTATTGATTCAGGACTTCAGGGCAGCCAGGACAGGGCAACCAGAGACACGCACATAAAAGGAATCCGAGAACTGCTTCAGAAAGTTCACGAACAATGGGATAAATGTATTTGAAGTGAAGGAGAATATTTTGAGGATATTTAATAGGTGCGTCTTTCACTGTAATGAACTTTTACAATTTAAACACACTATTTTCTGGTTATACGGTACCTCATATATTATGACTCTTAAAGCATCAGACAAAAAAATGTTTCTTATGATGCGTGTGTGCAAAATCCATAGCAAATATATATATGAAAAATTAAATTACAATTCTAAGTGTTGCACTTTATTAATTAAATCAAAGTATATCATTTCTATTTTCCTCATTTTTATTGAGTTTATTGGTACATTCTAGGTATGCAGTACAGTTACATTCATTACTGGGATCTTGTCCTTTACATGACAGGTCTTGGTTCTCATTTTTTCCCCCTTGTCCCTACCCTCCCTTCACCCTCATTTCTATTTTATAATACAGTGTATAAAAATTCACAAAACCAGAGCATGAACCTCAGCTTTTACCAAATATTTTACTAAGTATGTGGACCTCAACAGAAAAAAACATTACTCAAGGTAATGGTGAATAAAAAACTGATTAGTAGTAAACAATATATTTTCTGTCTTTGTAAACAATATATTTTCTATCTTTATCACTAGCGCAATTGGAGAAACATTTAGGAAACTAAGTAAGGATACTGTTGGTATAAGAAGAGTAGATTTCTTAAGGAAAGACAGGGTTTAGCTGTGCTAAACACTTCAGGCTGATTCTATACTCTTGCATCAGTAGATACTATTGTAGTGATATTTTTTCTAAAAATAGGACCCAGGTTTTTATTTAATGAGAACTGCTCATAATTACTACATAGAGATTGTAAATGACTTACCATTAGTGCTTCATGTAAAATATAGGCAATTGTAAGCTCGCTCAATCTTTCTCCCTTCTTCAGAAAGCCTTTCACAAGGTCAGTCACTGAGCCGCCATTACACAGCTAGAAAAGATTTCCAGATGGATGTTAATTAAGATGGATAACACACCACCCGACTTCCTAAAACATTTAAAAATGTCATAATTTCCTGCTTTAAGGGACTACTCTCAGCTTCTCTACACCTTCATAAATGAAATGAGCATATAAACTCATGTACAATTGACTACTGGACAGTCTTCATAAAAATTAATGTATTGGAAGAGAATTTGGAGAGGCACTGGGCTTGATTTTTAAAACTAAGAATAAGAATTATGATTCTACAAATTATTCCTAAATTTTAGCATCTAAGGTTTAAGAGTACTGAATATTTCTAATAGTCCAATTAATAGTACAATAGATTCTCATCATCAAAACTTAGCTTCGTAGTTATGTGAGCTAATCTTAAAAAATGTCTCCTTTTTGGCAAAATTTCAAAGTGTATTGAAGTAAGGGTTACAAATAAACTATGTGTAATAGAAAACTATTGAAAATATCATGTTTCCTATACTCTTTAGCATCTTCCTTCTTACCTACCAAAAGCAGGGAGAATCTAGATAGAAAATAAGAAGAATAAATATGACAGAGGAATTTTTCTCTTCTAGGCTCTTGAAAGTTAGGTTACATTAAACCCCACAGAAAACTTTCAAAGGAGCTGTGTTGCTTGTGGAACAGATTCACACTGCCATCAGCAGTAGACACGAGAGGGCGCACACACAGGCAAATGGCTCTGGGCCTAGCCAAGGCCCAAGGCTGCTATGATCCCACAAGTCCTCGGTTTCCTAATGTCTGATTCTTTGACCAGAGAGGAGCCCTCAGCCTTCCGTTCCTCCCGGAGATCTTCTCTGTGTTTCCCTGCCCCTCACGATGATCTATTCAATCTCCTTTCCCACGTGCCCTTTGGTACCTACCAGTGCCTGGGTAGTTAAAGCAAAGCACATCATCTGTTTGACCTTCTAACTCAAGTGCAGGAAAAGAGCTGAGTATATTTTTAGCATTGTTTGAAACACTGAACACATTTTTTCAAAATCTGCTTCTAATATGGCAATTACATCTTTCTGTTATGGCTGACTGCTTTTGGTACATAAATAACAGCTAAGACCTCTGATGTAGGTACAGAATTATCTCCAAGATGAAGAAAATGAAGCACATTCATAACTGGTGGCTTTCTGCATTCAGAAAAAACTTCCTTTGGCTAACATAGGAATATGTGCAATCCAGACTTTGAATTCCTACACTTTGCTCTGTGTAAGAAGGGAAACAGCTTTGAGAGGGACAGGGTCAGACTGCCCCCACGGTGAGCCAGTGTGACCAGTTCACGAAATTATGTACAACCGACGGAGAAGAAATGGAGTCATTTAAAAGGGTATGCCACTTATTTAAAAGGGTGCAAGACTTAGGACTAGTTCTAAGGTTCCTAAAAATCACTGCAGGGAGATACATTTCTTTTTCTACTTCTCCAAAGTGTAGCCTTTCTTTAGCTGCCTCTTCTGCAACTGACTATTGGGAAAGAAAAGTGAAAGTTGTCAGAATTAAAATGGAATCACTTATGTCAGTTTTAATAGAAATTAATTAACTAATTAATTCAGTAGGTTGGAAAGACAGGAGCCTTAGTATATGCCTGCCTGATTGTCACTATCACAAAAGACTCTGCCAGGCATGTGCCACCAAGCATAGCTGTTCTTATTACTGCCTATGAGAATTCCTTTTATGTTCTGGATACAAGACCTCTGTCAGCCATGTGCTTTGTAAATGTCTTCTTATAGTCTGTGGCTTGCCCCTAAGTGTTCTCTGAAGAGCTGAAATCCCATTGCTTCTTGGCCTTTTGGCTAAGGTAAGTGAAGAGTAGAAATTCTAAATCTAACATTTAAAATGTTTATGGAATGCACTTTTTCAATCCTAAGAAATCTTTGCTCAATCCAAAGACAAAGACTTTTCACAATTTCTTCAGGAAGTTTTACACTTTCTGGTTTTACATATAGGTAAGTCTGTGAATCCCTCCTTTCATTTTTTTTTTTCTTGGTACTGGGGATCAAACTTAGGACCTTGTGCTTTACAGTCAGGCACGGTGCCACTGAGCTAAATCCCCGGCCCATGACTTGATTTTTTTTAAATATGGTGTGAGGATGGGTTATACTCAGACACTCAATTACTTTTGCACACTTCTGTATTAGTTGAAGGTACACAAGAAACCAAAGACAGACCTGAGTTGAGTTTGAAATCCACTGTCAGCACGATGAATGGCTGAAGCCTAAATGCTGCTCAGTGAAAGAAGACAATTGGAAAGGGCTCTACACCGCATGATTCTAATGATCTCACATCGGGAACAGGACAAGCTGGAAATAATGGTTTTCAGGGGCTCAGGGAGATGAAAGAGCAGCTCAAGAAAGCTTTTTATGGCCATGCAACTAGTCTCTATGATAAAACAATGGTGGACACTAGGCCCCACACATTTGTGAGAATCCACAAAGTGTGAAACACTTAAGGAGAGAATGTGAACGTAAACTGTGGACACTGGTTAATAATAATGTATCATGACTGGTTTACACACTATAACGGATGTACCTGGCTAATGCAAGATGTTACTAATAGGAGAGATGAAGGGGTGGTGGGAGGGGCTCATTGGAATGCTCTGCACTCTCTGTTTAATTCTTCTGAAAACCTACCCCTGTTCAAAAAGTAAGACATATCCATTTTCTTTAATAAAAAAATTCTTGCTAACCCCAAGAATATGCAAAAAAGGACCCGAAATAATGAAGGAACATGAAAATCCAAGCTCAACATAAATAAATCACCCTTATAGTGTCTTTTTAGAAACTATTTACTCTTAGTTGCCCTGTATATCCAATGAATTTTCACAGAACTGAACTGCTGCCCCAGAAAACATTCTTGATATATTTATATATATAATCTCCATAAAATTTCATAACAATACTTAGTGAAAACCTGATGTTTAGAAAATCATAATTTATTCCTTCACATCCAACAATATTTACTGCCTTGTTGATATATGGGAAGACTAAGATAGGTGTTAGAGTAGATCAGAGATGACGAGGACAGCTTCTACTTCAAGGAGGCCAGCAACGTGGTCAAAACTATGGCTTTCAACCACATGAGACTCTGTTCTGAGGGACACTTTACGACGTGTGGGTTGGGGAGCTGCTACTGGCATCTACAAGCCAGGGATGTGGCCGCACACCTCAGAGGAGCAAGAACTCTCCAGAACAAGAGGCCATCCAGACCAACATGCCAAGGGTGTCATAGTTGGAGAACCCTAAGGAGAGGGGTAGGGAGCAATTTCCTTGATGCTATGTTAGGTCTCGAATCATAATTACATGGACAAGAGACTTCCGTGCTGAGGATGCAGAATTTCACAGAGAGATTGCTAACACTGAGTTGGAAGGCAAAGAAGCAAAGGTTTTAAGGAGCAGAAGGAATCTGTTGTCATCTATGTTGATGTGAGTTTCTTCCAGGTCTTTTGGGTATAGTTTGGTTTTGACGTCTTTGGGAATACGGATCTACATTTTGGCAGGGAGGGGGGCGGGGAATCAGTTTTAGCATTTTTTTCTTTATATTAGTTGATCTTTTTTTGCGTGTGTAATTTTGGTTACATTGGCTTTTCTCCCAGTGTTGGGAAAGTGTGCTCCTGCAGCTTCCTGGTTGTTCATGGTACAATGGCAGGTCAGTCCTCACACTGTCACGTCCAGAAACAGTGCCACACAATTTTATGCATACTGAAGTTTGGAATTCTCCAACAGTGTTTTATAAACTTTCTTCTGTGCGTGTTTTAATATAGTTTCTATGACCCCGCTTTTGGAGTTTTTGCTTCTGTAGGTTCAAAGTGATATGAACCTGTCACCAGAGGTGGTATAACTATTCCTTTTCTGGTTTTAAGTAGCAAGTAAAATGATGGGTCTTCCTTGATCACTCTTCATAAAAGTCCTTCTCTTTTATTCTCTCCATGTATATTCATGATAGCACTAATAAAAATATATAATAAATAATGTGAAATAGGAAAAAAAGGTCCAAAGGGGAAGAGAAAGTAAGAGGGGTAGGGGAAAGGAATAAGTATGAGAAAAAGAAAAAACAGAAACAAAGGCTTCCTGCATAGGGAGGAGTAGAGGGGCTGAAGGGAGAGTAGGGGAATGGGAAAAAATAAGAACTAAGATCTATCATGTAAAGGTACAAATTCTAATGATGGATGTCATCATATCATATACCTAAATGCACCAATAAACTTAATGAATAAAAAAAATATATATGTATGTATCACTAATTTGCTTTCATTTAAAATTCTTTCCCCACCACTAGACAATAAGCTTTACAACAAAAGGGTCATTTCATCTTTTTCTCTACATAGAGCTCAGGATCTATGAAAATGGCTAGCCCAAAGAAAAAGACTACTATTTATGGAAAAAGGAAATGCCTGGATAGATAAACTTAGGTTCTGAAGAACCTACAAACACGCACGCACGCGCACACACACACACACACACACACACAGACAGAGAGGTGGGGGGATATATTTTCCCGGGGCATGGAAGGTACCTACTCAAAATGTAACATGATTGACTTTATTTCAATAAAATATATTAATGTACCAAATTGTAGATTCCAATAAAGTACTGATAAAACATTAATGACAACTGGAATCATCCCCTCTTAGATGTTTTCTAATGTGCATTTTTGTGGTGTATAAAATTGTACATCACTTTCCTAATGTGTAAACTAGAAATAGTCTGTCAATGGTGTTACTGACGTACAATGTAACCGACACATGTAACCATGCAGCTAGATGTGTTCTCGTAAGTGCTCACCATCAAACCACTAACTCAAAATATGCAACCGTTCCCTCAGCCTAAAACATTTCCAAATTCTTGGCACAGTCACACGCATGCAGTGTCATCAACAAAAAGTCTATGATAACAAAGAGAAAATAACTTATCAGAAGAAATATTTTAATGTGTATAATAGAAATCGATTACTATCAGATAGTGAGACATCTTTGGTCATCTCACAGCTTTTTT